TTGACCACCCCGCACCACTGCCAGCTGTGGTGCGCATTAAGTTTAGTTTTAGAGATTAATATGTTTATAGGTTTTTTATAGGTTTAGAGATTACTATTTTTTGCTTTTTGTTTGTGAAACAAGGTCAGAGGAAGCAGGTTCTGGATCGGTGGACTGGACCCGGTGTTACACCATACTCTGTGACCTGAAACAGTGCAACACCGCCCCCTACGGTCATACGGTGATCACATAATATGATGTCACTACGGTTACTCAACGTTACATTTTTAACCTCGATAGATGTCCTAGCAATCGATGTGTAGATTACTCGAGTACTCTGTTAATGCCCTATTCAACACTACAAAATCTTTCAAATAAAAAGGTCTTCAGTCCTTTCTTAAAACTTTATGTAGTCTGGGGTACCCTTAGATGGTCGAGGAGGTTGTTCCACAGCAGCAGAGGAAAAGGCCCTGTCACCCATGGTGCACAGTTTTGTCCAGGGAAGACGGAGCTGGTAGGAATTAATGTAATATGGGTGGGGGGGTCTAGGGGTCCTCCCCCAGAAAATTTTGAATAAAGTAGATGCCATTTCCTGCATTTTTGTGTATTTCAACGGGTTTTTAAACATCTATGTTTACCTACATAAATAAACACTTGATTCAACAACTACATTAGAGAGCAACAAGAAGTAGCCTGACCAACAGCTCTCCTTGTGTGGATAGAGCATGCTCTGCTTCTCTCACACATGACCCCCCCTCCCCCCAGCTCCTGTAGGTAAGGAACGTTTACCTTCGGGACAAATTGAGGTCACCGATTGGTCTGTTGCTGACGAGCCTACTGGATTGGTCGACAGGTGGCGTTGAGTATCTGACTCGTGCAAAAAATATATATTTGTTAAGCTTTTACTGGCCCGTTTAAGTGTCGTCATTTATTTTAAATTTATTTTAAATTTATTCAATATTTTTGGTGAATCTAAGGTTTAGATTTTGAGTATCCTTACACAATTGTAATGATGGTTTCTTTATTTTTCAGGGGTGCTGAGTTAAAATTTAGGGGTGCTTCAGCACCCCCCCCCCCCTCCAAAAAAAAAAAAAAGAAGCTAAAATCACCACTGCCCCTCATTCTTTAATGTGACATCACCTTCCATCTGTTTGTTGTATGTTGTATGTCAGAATGCAGGGAAAAACAAAACGTGCCTGTTTAAAATTCTCATCTGCCCTATCTCTGATGACCTGCCTGAGGTTTGGAAGGTCACTCACTTAAATCTAATTTCTTCCCGGAGCAGCTTGGTCTTTGGCCTTTTAGACAAACCTTTTGAAAGTTTTTACACAAAGCAACCTGTCAGTCAGTTTGGCTGCTGGACGGACTTGGCTCAGTTCTTTTTTGGACGTAGTGCAATAAAGACTCACACTAGCTCTGCTTCTTATGCTAATGCCACAGATGAAGAGTCATCTCATCTGACAGGCGGGAAATGAAGTCTCTGGCCCACAATTGCCAGTTTCCTTGAGGTTAAAAGTCTGTGTGCATATGACAAGGTTTGATTTGAGGGTTTTAAAGTTGCTTTTTGTCTATGAATGTAAAACTTTGACTTGTATCTCAGAGTTATTGGCAGGTGAATTACCAGGTCTGACCTTGGAGAACTGGAGAACTGCCTTGAATGGCAAATTTACAGAAAGGGGGGTGTGGAGGGGGAGAAAGGGAGAGAAAAAGTTGATGTTTGGAAATAATACAGTGCATCTCTGTGTTCAAGTCAAAATGTAATGGTTGACTTCATGAATAAAAGATGATCTGAGTTTGCGTATTTCAAAAGAGCCAAGAGATTCATCTTGATTAACTTGTTTATTGTGAGATGCTTTTTGCACAAGAACCACTAGAGGTCAGTCACACACTGGTTTAGACTGGTTCACTGGTTTAGACTTGTTGCCCAGCACCGCTCTGAATGTTTGGATCATGATAATTTTAAATTCTATATTAAACACCAACAACAGTAACAACAGTTTTGATGAATACAATTAAAAGCCCAGAATAAACTGTTTTTAGGTCAAATCTCTTATTCAACTTGATCAGGGTGCTGTTTAATACACTGTATTATATTACATTGTTGTTTAGTGTACATCTTAGATCCTTGTATACCCTTTTGTATACTTTTTTTTGGTTGTTGTTGCTATTTTTGGGTGTAACTGGGACATTGAGTACACAATTTCATTCCACCTCATGTACCACATGTGAGGCGAGTGACATTAAAGAACCTTGAACCTTGATCTAAACCTAAACACTTTTTCAGCTCTCACACGTTCAAAAAAATATACTAGATTTCATTATTTTCAGAGTAAATATGGCAAATATTAGTACGTAACTTATAGCTTCACGTTTAATGCATTTAAAGGCAGCGAAGACTCACACTGAACTACATTATTGTTTTTGTACTATTAGTGTTTAGCGTGTTCTTAGTTTAGCGTATTTCTTAGTTCATATCTTAGATCTTACTACTGTTTTTCTTTACAGTTTATGCTTTTATTGGATGTAACTGTGACCCTGTGTACACAATTTTATTCCACCACATGCACCACACGTGGTGCGAATGACAAATAAAGAAACTTGGACTTTATTGTTTGAAATGCTTTTTGAGTTGAACCCTTCTCTCATTTTTTGGCTCAAAGCCTTGGCTCAATGTTAGCATAATAACTGCTCCCCTGATGCTTGCAAGCAGCATCCATATTGGTCACATTAAGCACTTCTACACCGTGCACAGGACGTTAGGAGGAGGTCTGCGGTCTCACCTGTGGAAAAGCCAGTCTTCTTGTGACACTTAGTGAACTCAATGTTGAAGTAAGTAATCAGAGCATGGACGTAGTCGTTCCTCTGGATTTGCAAGCAGAAAGGCGAGGTAAATGAGAGGTCGTCAGGCTTTACTGTGTAGAGGTCCACCTCCTGAAAAAGTGCAGACACATTTAAGTGACCCAATGGAAAACAACGACAACAAACACTTCACTTTGTGTCATTTTCAAGTTAAACCTCGGGTCTGTTCCAAAGATGGAAGGAGGCCGGTAAAGCTTGTGCAGGATAAATGAAGAGACTGCTGTCATGTCAGGGCTCTATAGCTCATGTTAGGATTTATGTATTTTTCATGCATAGTGCAAGAACTCAAGTCTGCAAATGTCCTCTAGTTTTTAATAGATCATGTGTAAAGATGAGCATCTGTTTACACATTCTGATGTATTGTTGTGTGCACAGCTCTACGCTACATTAGCTCAGATAAGTAACAGAATAATTCATTATTGTTGCTCACATGAAACAGTTGCTGCACAAAGATCACATAGGCGCTGCTGCTACAGCACACTCTTTTTTCATGTGTTATCACTATCAATAGAAATCTACTGCGTGCTGCTTTTTGGGACCAGATGCAACATTTGGTGTGGAGGACTGAACCTCATGTTTGCTTTCAAATAAAAACAATCAGCTCTTCTCAGATCCACCCATCTGCTCTAATTTAGAATTAAAAACACACGTTCGAATATTTGCTCTGGTTGTGCAGTAACATATAAGTGAAAGTCAGATTTGAACATTTAAGAGTACAGCTAGTGTTTATACTGCAGTGATTCAAAATGAGGAAGCTGCTCATCTTATTCAACACTTCACTTATTAATGACCCCATCTGAGCATTGCTGCAGAGTTTAAAGCAGAATAAGGTGGTGTGGAAATTGCTCAGCTTTACCGTGAACGAGGTAATTTATCAATCCATTTAAAGACAATGTGATCACCCTGAAGGGAGATCATTGCTCATTTTTTACCACCATATCCAGAAACGGACAGCATTGCCACTATCGTTATAGTGGCAAACCCTCGGGTTTTTGTGTGTTTTCGTATTGTTTTTGTACTACTGGCGTATTTTTAGTTGATGTTTTTCTTAGTTCATATCTTAGAACTTATTACTGTTTTTCTTTTACATTTTATACTTTTGTTGGATGTAACTGGGACCCTGCGTACATATATTCGTTCCACCACATGTACCACATATGGTGCATATGACAAATAAAGAACCTTGAATCACTGAGTCCTTTTGACTCTCATGTCTTATCTTTTGTTTTTTTTTTACACAACAAAGTGATGCTTGATGGGAAAGTCAAGGTACAACTTGCACCAAATTTTCCTTAAGGACGGAGGTGAAACAAGTCAGATCCCCGCAATCAATGCCAGCGATTAGAAGGTCATTAAGACAAGCTGCACAATCGGGGGGGGTGGGGGGTTGGGTGGGGGGCAGACAGGCTGCTATTGTCACGCTTGGTGTGACAGCCTGATGAGTGTAATTCACGCAGCGAGAGGCCACAACACATCAAGGTCAAACTCATTCCTGCAGAGCCACACAGCATGTTCACCACTCAGATGATGTCATTGATTAGTTATGAGCTGCGTGAATTAGCTTTACCTCTAAAATCAATACAAAACTAAATAATTTTCATGGCAATGTAAGAAAATGACAAAATACTTGAGCTTCACGCTCTAATCAGTATTTAATATACTTTATTAGAACTTTTTAATTTTTTGTAATTTCCTGTTTCGTGAGCTATTAAACAATAAATTCTGTGTGTACAAAGTAATTAGGGATTATGACGCAAATTCAGCAGACCTGAGGGCCCTTTTGAATTGGGCTGACTACAAAAGTTAATCAGTGCAGATATCAACCCAGTGGCTACTTTCTGAAAGTTTCATTAAAATGTGTTCAGGGTTTTTATGAAATGTTTTGCTAATGGTATAAACAAATGTTTTATTATTATATTTATTCATGTTCTGGGGTGGGGGTGGGGGTGGTGTTACAATTTCAGAGCTAGAAATAGAATCTAATTCAGTTTAATTACATTTTATAGCTTGTTGTTATAACAGCTTATTATTATCAATGGTAAAATACAGAACTGATGATCTGAGGGAAATCAACTGCAATTTTTTTTTTGTAATACTCAATGAATTTAAAAGCTAATTGTTTGGTGGAATTGTTAAAAAAAATAATCACAATAACATTTTTTCCCCCTTCACAAGTTCTTTACAGGTTATGTTTTGCATTCGATTTTGTTGCATTTTGTTTGGCATTAGCTGAGCAGTTAGCTTGTAGTTTGCAGTACTGACCTTCACCAAGCAAGAGTTGGTCACCACCTGTTTGTGGTCCACCACATCCACCAGGGGCTCCTTCATCGCCACATTACGAATGCATGTCATGTCAAATCCGTACACGTTCTCCCACCCTGGGAAATAAAGCATCACTGAGTTTTTTTGTGCAGCGCCCTGAGACAACTTCAGTTGTGACTCGGCGCTATATAAATAAACAGAACTGAATTGAACTGAGTCACCTTGTTGCCACATTTTCACTGTTTTTCTTCAACTGCAAACACGTGATTTTTATTTTTTGGTTTCTTCTGGTTGTAAACGGGCTACATCTTGAAAATGGTCTCACCCATGACCTCAGAGATACACCTCCGAACAAGTTGGAAGGGTTTTTCTGGTAATGGAAAGTGAACGCTTTGTAAATTTGCCTCCTTAAAGTCACACCAGATTTTTTTGCCACACATATCTTTTTATGTTAAAGCCAATTCATCCCTTACATTATTCACCCACCCTCTTAGTATAATGTGCAAGCAAACATCTTTATCATGCCTTAAAAGAGGTGAACAACTCGAGTACTTAGAAGAACTGGTAATGATGAACGAGTCACAGACCCCCAGGGGCCTTCGTGATGTAGTGCATTTTATATTTCTTTCCGCCCACTTATCTAAGAGGGTGTGCAGTTGAGAGCAGCAGCAACAATCACTGGATGCTCTTAGAATACTGAGATCCTTCTGAGGGATACTTCTAACTCAGCGTTAAGGTCTTCCTGGGCCTCATGCCAGGGGAAGAAACAACTTTGTAGTCAATATGTGCACAACACAATACAAAGTGAGTGCAGACAAAAATGAACTTCTCAGACTTTGTACAGAACTCCGTTGTGAATTCAAACAATACATATATTTTTTAATTTATTTTTTGAGGCATCACCCTGGTTGTTTGATTTCTCATTAAGTACGAGGCCCACAGTGTATTGTGTCTGTATTAGTGCTGTCATTTATAACCCGGGCCCGAAGCCAGGCATGGCCCAACCCGAATTTGTGCTGGGCCATGATAATGTGCTTGATGGGCGGGCTGGGTCGGTGTCGGGCTTTTGATTACATCAGTGGATCAGATGCGATCCAATTATATGGCAACATGGCTTGCCATACATTTGCCGGCCGCACACGGCCATTTCACCGCGAGCTAACCAGCCTTGAAAGAGGTAAAATAATTTCAGTTAAGTTTCAGATGGGACTACCGGTACTGCCAGGAAGTGATCCATCGCTCAAATAGACGTTCATTCAGCCGCTGCACTCCGCAGACACACGCGGCCGACGGCCCAAACAGGTGAGATCCCAAAGCCGATATGTCAGAGCAGGGTCTGTGTCTGGATAATGCAGAATGCAGGCAAGAGCAGGGATTTAATGTGCTTTAATGGTCATGATGGTCCCCAGCTCCAATCTTCTTAGAGCTGTCATTTCTAACTCGAACCCGGAGCACGGCCCCGTCCGACCCAGATTCGGACCGGGCCATAATAATGTGCTTAAGGTGTGGTCAGGGTCAGTGCCGGGCTTTTTATTGCATCAGGGACGTGCGCGGTCAACGATCCAATATATGCAAACATGGCTTGCCATATCCTGATGCATGCTCAATGGCTTGCCATACTACACCTGCTGCATGCGGACATTTGGCCGCGCGCTGACTGGCCGGTTGAAAGAGTTAAAATGTCCAGCTGCAGTTAAGCTTCAGATGGACTACTGCCAGTGATCCATCTGCCCAAATGGACGTTCATTCAGCCGCTGCACTCAGAGGATGCACGCATCCGACGACCCAAACAGGAGAGATCATAAAATATCTGACATGTCAGAGCAGAATGCAGGCAGAAGCAGGGGGAGCATTTCATGCGCTTTGATAGCTCCTCAGCTCAGATCTTCTGCCCCCTCAGCTGCGCGCGTCCGCCAACCGTTAATAACGGTCAGTGGTATAAGCAGTCAAAACTTAATTAAAAATGTTGGGGGGTATTTGGACCTGTAATTACTGTTAATTTTTTGGGTCGGATGAGGTTTGGAAATGATGGCTACAGGCTGGGGCCAGGTGAGATCTGATATTTTGGGCCTGAATAGTCTGTGTGACTGCTGTTATCTGCATTGTGTGCTCTCTGAGCAATATTTTAGCAGAACCTGCTCCTGTGCTTTGTGTCCACAAAGAAAGCATCACCCCCAGACAGTCCTCCTGGATGGTTTAGAGTGGGATGAGTAATAGAAAGCCTTGTTGATCTATGAAGTCAATTATCACCTTCATGTTCTTGAGGAGTTGTTCAAGATTATTATCTGTGCTGAAAAACTTTGAAACACTTTTCAGCAACCATCCATTCGTCATCTGTTTCTTGTTAAAGCCACCCAGGAGCCCCGTGGAGCACAATAAGAACAACTGAAGTGAGTGCGAAAAGTGCAAGTTACACACAAACACTAAAAATGACTCACAGTGAATTTTGAAGTCTTTATATTGTCTGTCTTCTATGGCCAGTACGTACAAGGAAGCTCGGTCAGGAAACAATAATCCACCGGGTTTCTGTTTGGAAAAAACAAGTTCAAACAAAACAAAACAAAAACAAACAAATAAAAATTCATAATCGGCACATTTTTAAAAGTGTATTTTTATGAAAGGATAGACTGTTTGATATGCTCACACAGTGTAAATGTGTGCTATATCATTTTAATGTAGGTTTGGTTGCTTGAAGTTTTTTAATTTTATTGGGGATTATTTATGCAAATAGCAGTATGCAAAGTAAAAGCTAATTGTTTTATAGAAATTTAAAAATGGAATTGCACACTTTTGTTTAGATTGATAAAGATTCCTAAAGTGTTTCTCTCATTCATGTTTTATGAAAGGGGTCCCCAAATGGACCCCTGTCATAAACCCTGTGCTCCAGATCCAGATCCAAACCAAGACCCCAAATTGATAGTTACATCTCAGGAAAAATGAATTATTAAATCATCATTTATCGTTCTGCATTTACAATGATTTATTGCTGCTTTTTTAACATTTACGGTAATTCATTTTAGGTGGTGCAGCTTTTCAACTTGCTGTTTACAATAATTCCCACATGTGGCCCAAAGAGGTACAAGACAGAAAATACTATACGGCAAGTGAAGAAAACGAACTTGGCTGTCGTTCAAAGAAAATTTAAAAATATATGATCTGGATTTTTGAATTAAAAAAAAAAGTTGGAATTTTATTTGATGACCACTCTTTAATGACTAAAAATCTACAATAAGCTGTTTTCCAATAGCTGTGTGGCGCCGTTTATTGAATATTGTGCACACTGATTTGTTGGATTGCTTGGGGATGACCCACAGCAAAGTCAAACAGATTATCAAAGTTGGAAAATTGGACTGTTGCGCTGCTTAAGGACATTTTGTTGTTCATGATGTTCCTAGTATTTCTAATCTGAGAAAGAACATACGTGTAGGGGCCTAATCGATAACAACTTAAGGTAGTCCATACATATATCTTTTGTAATATTAAGTAGCCAAAATGATCTGTAGTTGGGCAATTTTTATAAATGGCCAAGATGACTTGAAACCACATTAACATATTTAGCACAAATAGTACTAGACCTCGGTGCAACTATCAGAAGTTTTCGTTGTTCCATAAATTCTCACTTGTTCTTGAATCTGCGATCAATGTTGCACATATACACCGCACAGCGATCTCCACAACCCAACTTGAAATAAAACACTGTACTGTTCAGGTCTGTTGCTTTAACTTTGACAAAGACAAAGATCAGCCAAATACACAGTGGGTGGTCCCAAACAGGACCACAACGCTTTCCACAAAACAAAGATGGCGGTATCCATGTCAAGTCTATTGCAGATCCATCTTTTGTTTTTTACATTGCTTGCTGCTTATGATGATTTTGTGTTAAAGACTTTTAACAAAGAGTTTGTAGACCAGCAATCGACTGTGTAAACTATTGTATTTTTCATTGTATAAGTTGCACCTTTTTGCATAAATTTGCAAGTCCTGTGACTCATACACCAAAGCGACTAACATATGTTTTATTCCCCATATTTATAACCCAATTTTTGGCAGAGATCTGACAATTTCATTCATTCTGACATGGAAAATATTGAGCACTACCATTTTCAGCCACTAGAGGGCACTGGAGAACATGGCAAGCCATAGGTAAAAGTGGCTATTAATGAGACATTTTGCTTGCCCCAGTAAGCCTCCTTCGTCTCACTTTGGAACTCCTAGAGCAAATGTCAAATCAGCTGCATGTCGTTGCGCTGCCCAGGCGAAATGCAGCTGATTTGACCATTAAAGTGCATTTATTAAGGATAAGTTCAAACGTACCTTTACTATAATGTTGATCAAACAAGTAATGTTTTTTAAGTGTTAATATTGTTAAATTCTTAAATTTAAGTCCTTCCGTGTACACTCACGCAGCCGCCATGTGGCAGCCAATCAATTTTTGGCACAACACCGGCCCACGTTTCCGGGTGTTCAGCGGTGATGCATAATAGATGCGACCTGTATGGCAAAGTGACATATTTATGTTTTTTCCACTTTATTAGACATATTTGGACTGATGCGACTTACACGGCGGTGCAACGTGTCCAGCGGCAAGTACGTTAAGTTTTATTACTTTGACTAAAATGTTCTTTTAGTGTTTTCTTGTGGTAATTTCAAAAGTAGTTATTTTTTAGTCAAACATTCTGGTCATTTTGTAACACTTGATGCATCAAAACAAAATGAGCAATAAAACACACACCAGCACACAGACACACAATCCACAGGTCATACCAGCCACTTGTCCCTTGCAAAGATGACAGTGTTGAGCATGGATTCATAAAAAAGGCAGTAGCCCATCCATTCAGATATGATGATGTCAACCTTCTCCACTGGAAGCTCCACCTCCTCCACCTTTCCTTTGAAAATTGTGATAACTGAAACAGAACAAGCCGAAATGTCATTTCAGTCCTTTAGGCCTTGTTGAAAATAACTCAGATTGGTTACATATAAACATTTGCCCCAAATATTATACCATCCATTTTCTGTTAAAAGCAATGTCCTATAATTTATTACTATGTGCACAGAATAGTATTTTCTATGGAAAAAATGTAAAAGAACTAAAATATCCTCAGAATGGTGCCCATCCGTTCGGTGGTAATCTGAAAGAGTTTAGCCCAGCTGGGGATGACAATAGAAATCTGAATCTTTGCTCTGCCAGAGATCAACTGACTTCACTTTGTTTTACTTTGGCAGGAACGTACTGAAACATTTCCCTGGTGATACAAATGACATGTAAATCTTTTGTGATTGCTTCCGCCTTACTCACTGTCCGCAACTTGCAGCCAACAGTGTTGATACTTTCCTAAATTACTCAAACATATTTGATATTCATGAGTTTATGGATTATACATACGCTGACAGGATGGTTCATGGAGTTATTACTTGTAAGGTGCAAAGCTGGCAGGAAATGTATTTTTAATTGTTGCCTTGATAAAACCGTAGGATTTTTGAAGTTACAAAAAAATGGACGGATGCCTCGAAGAAATGAGGAAATGCACAACAGTATGACAAAAGGAACATGGATGTATGTATTTGTCCAAATGTATACAGTAAATTAATATTTTGTTCTTCACCGAAACTGAATACACCCCCCCCCCCCCCCCATTTTCTGCCATTTTCTCTTCCCTCGTTCATCTTCACCCATTATCATAATCATTGCTCTCTTGATTTTTTATGAATTTCAAAGACAGAAATGAAGTGAAGCAGCTGCAGCTCTTACCACTGTCAAGGTGGTTGGACTTGATGATCCTCTCGGAGTACTCTGATATACTGGAGCACTCAATCTGACAGAAAGATATATTTGTAAAAGTTCATTAAAAATGGATTATATTTAATGCAATGTCTACTAAAATCATAAAAATAGCCTTACTTTATCTTTAATTCGGCACACTTTGAATGTTACTGCTTTACTCAAGTTGACAGGCATGCAAACGTCAAATCCACTTTTTATTGCTTGTGTGGATTTCCATTAAATCTTAATGCCAATTTAGCAAAAAGTCAACATTTTGATCACCTAAGGCAGCAAAAGTTTTTGATAAACTACCCACGTTTCATTTGAGCCAAATAAAAGCACAGTATGAAACACTTTCAATAAATATGTAAGAAACATCTGAGTATTCAATTAGAAAAGGCAACACAACCTCAGTGCAAAACAAAACAACAAAGCTAAAGTTCGAGGCCTTCAAGCAGCTGAAGGCAGATTTTTAACAAGCTTTTTTAAAAGTGTGCAAATGTTGAAGTCATTCTGATCAGCACTGACAGAGACTCACATGCTTTCATGCACAAACCATGGCTGTCACAAACAAGAGCTTGATTTGTATTATACACACACACACAGAGGAGGGAAAGAGGGCACACTCATTCCACCACTACAACCCCGCATCGCAAATAGTTGTTTTCTGCAGTGACTGTTTGACTTGTCAAACACTGAAGCTTTCAGTGAATGTGGAGGACTGTTCACTTCATCCCTCAGGTAAACATCTGGGTGAATTATATTGTCTGAGTCTTAATGTATCAAATGCAAGGTTGTGTATGCAGCACTTTACAGTTTCAGCTTAGGAACGTTGGCACTTCCACCTGACTGACAACTTGAGACTGAAGCCCTTCGTTGCTCTGTAAACCCTGGCATTTTATTTCTACTGTAGAAAATAAACCCCAAACACATGCAACTAATAGACTACAATTCAAATTTATGTTTAGCTGCAAAATTCTTTAAAGAAAAATATGAATAACAATGTTAACAAGTTGTCCTAATTGGAGTTACTGAGCCAATCATAGCAGAAGATCGTCTTTACTCAAGTCACCTCAAGATAGTGACTCGGAGAAAGTCAGCGGCACTTCTATTCATTCCAACCTTTTCATTTGACTCATATAAACTGCACTTTAAAGTTTTTTTTCATTATCTGGTCTGCAGGTCAAGTCCTTGATAAGTAATCATCTTTCTGTGTGTTGCATGAATTTGATGAGGTGATCAGATTCAGGTGCTTTATGCTGTCCCAAGAAGTTGTTTGCAAGTTTGCACAGGAATGCTTTATGTTATTATGGTCCAGTTCTCTGGAATAAGCTACAGTGCATGATATTGTGTTGCTTGTCAAAACTGTGTCTATGTTCAAAAGCAAACTCTTGACCCTTTTTTTCTCACAGCCTTAATAACTTTTCATGTGTATGACGTTGAGAGTACACAAATGTGTATTTTATTTCCTTCTATGCATTCTTCTGGTGTAATTATGGTCACAAGGCAAACCAGGAGGCTTAATTCTACTGCACCAAATGATTTCTAATATTAGCTTTGTGTAATATGTTCAGTATGTGGTAAATAGTTAATGGACTGTACTTATATAGCCCCTTTCTATCTAACCAAGCTACTCAAAGCTCTTTATAACACAATCTGTGCCCTCATTTACCTCCACACACACATTCATACATCACTCTACTACATCTCGACAAAGATAATCTGAACAAATCCTTCTATAGAGACTAATCAGTGCTTTTAGATCACATTCATACACCAATGGGACACACATCAGAGGCAATGAGGGGTTCAGTGTCTTGAAATATACAAGGATTATTCATACCATAAGGACTAATAAGGGTCAACGTCAGTCACACGTCCTTTTCTGATGCAATGTTCTACTGAAACAAACTACATCCTTAAATTAGGACAAAGAATACTTTTTTTGCCACCTTCCTAAGGAAACGATTTACTGCATAGTAAAAGTTTGATAAAAAAAATCACATTTATCTTATTCTAGAACAGCTGCATTGCACAGTCTTCAGCTATGGCGGTGCTACTTTTATTGCTTTCACATTTGCGGCAGCTGTGGCCCCAGATGTGTTTCCAGCATGTCCAAGTACCATTTTTAGAACATAATATTTCATGCATATCTTTAGTTTTGTAATTAATTTAAACATAACCACTGAAACCCCACAATAAAATGATCAGTTTGTTTATGTAAAACAACGCACTAATGACATTATTCATTTTAAATTTCAGCCATACTCAAACAAATGATCTATAAAAACACTCTGACTGTCATTTATGGGAACTTGGTGACAAAAGGGGAGAAAGTGATTGTGTTTTACTTTGGCTCTGATGCAAATCTCAGGGTTCTAACTAGAGCTGCGGTGATCAAAAAACATTTTATGAGCCAGCAGGTTCATGATGTGTAGAGATTTCATTATACTTACTATATATCCATTATTGTCCCAATGAAATAGAAAACCTGAGCCTACAGTTGATCAAACCTTTCATTTAATTCCAAGCACTGCATGATTTATTAGGACAAAAAGCAGGAAATAAAAGTAAAATAAAATATCAAACTTGTTCAAAGTAACTGAAAACAACTTTCCTGCCTTTCTGCAGAGTCTGAGAGCTCTTGTCACTCCAAGCATCTACATGACTTGTGTGCCTGACAGCAGCAGGAAACCAGCACAGGTCAGGTTATCAGCTGACATCATTTTTCATTCAACCTTTATTTCTACAGGTTAGTGTCACTGAGCCTCGAGGACTCATTTACAAGAGAGACCTGATTTGAACAAAGAATGACGACATCAGTAGACAACAATGACAACAGCAGACAATCATAAAAGAAAATATATAAAGTGGGAAAAATCACAAAGGTTAATTTAGCTTTGCAGGAGATGTCCTGGAGTCAAGCAGACAATTGACGTAAGGTAGAAGACTACAAAGGGAAATCATTTACTAGGGAGCATGCTTCTGGTAAAGTCACTGAAGTGCTGCCAGGGCTCTTTAATTAAAAGTAATTAAGCTTAAGATTAGTCGGTGCTCAACTCCAACTAGCCACTGAACCCACTGGAATTTTAAATACCTCGGCGTCTGCTCTCCTTTTCCATTTTTTATTATTCTTATCGTTACTCGCTATTTTAAAATTATTTTTTTCCTCCCTAAAACATCACCTGTACCATACTACTGGTACATTATTTAATTTTATTTTATTTTTTTTATCCTGAGGTCCTTGCCTGAAATATTTCATTCAAGTTTAGAGCCACAACATTAGGGTGATAATATGGAGGTGCCACTGAAAACAGCACTGGCACAATTCAGCAAGAAAAAAAATGTGTCAATAGGCTTTTACAGCATCCATCCATCCATCCATCCATCCATCCATCCATCCATCCATCCATCCAACCATCCATCCATCCATCTTTACATTTTACCTGCTTCTTTCTTTTCGGGTCATGGAGAGGTGCTCATGTCCAACTAACACTGTGTGAGAGGCGCGGGACACCCTGGACAGGTTGCAAGTCCATCACATACTTTTACAACATTGTAGAGTCAAAGACAATGTTTTATTGAGTATTTGTACTGAGTTCCACATAACATGGTGCTTTTTGTCTGAGGTATGAAGACATGAACGAGCAGCAAACAAAAAAAAAAAAACCCATCTGGTCATATTAAACCATCTGAGGGAGCCTTCAGAGCTCTCACTCATAAAACCATTAAGCTGGGCTGGGATCACTGGGAAGCAAACAGGCGCAAAAGCACTCAGCTGCTCTGTGCACAGTCAAGGAAGCATGGGGTTTAGGAGAGCTTCAGTTTTTCATGCTTTATGTGTATATTTTACCTAAGAGATGTCAGATAACTAAAATAATGAATCTGAGAAGTTCTTTGTTTTAATGCGATCAAATGTAACTCAAACAAACAAACAAACAAACTCTGGCTTGTATTTGCTTACGAAGAGCTTCAGCTTTTTCCATCACACAAGCACACAGGATGCATTAGCACAGCTTCCCTGGAGCTGTCCTGCTGGACTCCCTGTTTGTGATTAGTGGAGGACTACTCCGGATGTTTCTGGTGCCTCAAGAAACAATTGGCTGCACCAACTGAGCTAACAGTCAGCAGTAATGTTGCACCATGTGCATGCACGAGTGTGCTTGGATTACTGTGCTAATGGTGTGAGCTAATTGGAAATGCCAGGCTTCCAGTTGTTGATAATTCCTCTTCTCTTTCTGAACCACAGTGAGAAGAGATAGCCACTAGCTATGTGTTCACAATTATCAGAGCTCATTGGAAATACTGATACCTCGAGGTGTGTTGGCAGAGACACTCATTTTCACATTTCCTCTTACACATCTCACTCGTGTCAGGAAGAGTCATGGTCACTGTGGGTTCCCACTTGTCCTTTACTCCAAAAATGTAAAAGGTACATGTTTCCTATTTTTGCCCAGATGTCATATCTCCCCCCTGGCTAAGCTGGTAACCTCCGACGTTCACGTCCAGCAAGAAAAGAGCACAGGTTTGGAGATGTCATTGTTATTTAGCTTTTATGTATCTATTTTTTATAGCCACTTGAATCTGTTCAAGCCATTGTCTACTGCTGAATTTTACATAATTGCATACTTTTAAAGCTTTAAGTTGCATCAATATAGGGGTGTGATGTAAAGTTAGATTTTTTTTTGAGTTACATATGAGCTAAATCCCTGAAGTCTCATTTGTATAGAAATGCCCTTCCAGATGGACTGGAAAATTAATTAATAACCCAAAATATTGTCATAATGACAAACTGATGGAAACAGCTAAATGATGAGGGCAATTAAACACAAGAATTGATAAAGACGTCACACAGAAGTTTAACATGTCAGACTCTTGGAAAAAAAGGTGAATCAAGTTAATTACCTCTCCCCTGAGCATCACACATATTAACTGCATGTCAGGCAAGACACTTCAAGATTTTGACCAAAAAAAAAAAATCCATTAAATATACCTTACACTCTAACTCAATGAACATGCACACCAAGCAGCTCCACAGTGCTTCCAACATGATGCTAGACTAATATACACCAGAGAAAGAACGTCTTACCCCGTACACGTGCTTTGCCCCAGCTTTAGCTGCAAACATGGAGAGGATTCCAGTCCCACTCCCAACATCCAAAACTATTTTGTCCTTAAAGATGTGCTTGTTGTGGTACATGGAGTTCCTGTAGGTGAGTGTCCTCACCTCATCCTTCAGCATTTCCTGGGTCAAAAAAAAAAAAAAAAAATGATAAGAGGGAGACGTGACACTGTTATCTCTTAAAGGATGGAGATGTTTTTGATGAATCTGTTGAAGATTTATGGTCTGGATGTTTGTGCTTCTTAGAGTAGGAAAAAGAAAAATGTATTTCACATCGTTTGGCTAATCTCACAGTTTCTTCTCAGCTGTTTGGCTTTACATTCTATCTATGGATGGTGTTTTTGCATAATCCCCCTGAACCTCCAGACTCAACCTGTCTGCAGCACTTTTCTGTTTCACACATCCTGCCTGTGAGAAAAGTATGAAAAAAATAACAAATCTACACTTGACCTACATTCTTAAAATATAAAAAAACCATGAGTCACAACTAAACTTTTTTTTTTCTCACTGCATCTGAGGCTTTTTGTTTCTTTAAAATTCAGCTGATCTCTGAAGGTAGACATCAGAATATCAGCTTGAACCGTGGAGATTAAAGAATCCCAAAAAAGGAAACAGATGTTTAAAATATTATTATTATTATTATCTCACAGACAATAAAGATTTAAAGTTTGCAAGTTTTGAGAATGCCCTAATCTTTTGTTTTTGTTTCTCAGCTCAAGGCAGTGTAAGGAGCTCAGCAGATCATATGTACAGCGTCTTCTGTGCAGGAAGTTATTTCAGGAAAAGTTCAGGTTTTATGTCAGCTGAAGGCTGCGGTGTTTGTTGAGACTTTTCTAAAACTCTCTGTGGTATACAAGTCACAGCTGAAAGGTTGTGAAAAGCTGAGAGCAGAAGAATGAGCAACCTTGGAGGGTCGCCCTGGGAAAATTTCACACACAAGTACAATTTACTGGATGTAGCTCATAAACACACTTCAAAACAGTGTGTGTAAGGCCCAAAATCATGCAATAGAAAATGGTATAAAACCATTATCTGCACTAACAGAATGCAGGTAATTTTATGACCTGATACTGCAGCAGTTTATGCAGCTTTAAATTTTATGAATTTCTTTAGATTTTCCTAAAAGGGTAATGATTTATCTATGATGGTGCTTCCCAAATGAGCTTCATCTTTCTACGACAACTTCAAAACTTATCTTGTGAATAAAGAGCAACATAAATAAAGTTGTACCTCATGAATACCAAAGTGGGCATAGGAGTCAAAGTAGTAGTCCCGTGAAGTCATCTCCTCCGGGTTGAGGAACTTGGACATCTTGCCCCGACCTGGACAGCTAGGGAGGCTAGCAGCATGGGGGGTGTGTGGGTGTGGGCGAGGAGGTCGAGGGGCATGCTGGACACAAGGCACAGGCTTGGGCAATGAGGTTGGCTGCGCTGAAGTAATGATGCGGATCGGCTGTGGTTGTAGCTGGGGTTGCTAAAAGGAAAAACAAACACTATTAAAACTGAGGACTATTTTTTGTTGTTGTTGGGTCTACATTTAATTGCCTGCCTGGTCAACCAAATAGTTAGTTGATTGGTTGACCATTCTGTTAAAGTGTGTCATGCTAAAATAATCCACCAGATGGCACTGCGACAGGAAATAGTAGTTTTTTTCTTTCCTACCTCCATCCAGGAAATCAAAAACCAGGACACATCAAGCATGGCATCATGACTGTTTTTGGGTAAACTTTAAAAGGTATGGAGACTTATTTTTACATATTTTGGTGATACAGGTCTTACTAAATAGAATCATGACCCTTGATGCAGCACAAAAACTCAAATTATGTTTTTTTTTTTTTTTTTTTTTTATGTGTTTGACCAAATGGTGGATTTGTCATTTCATGGTATAAATTTAAGCTAATGTCATTAAAAATGATAACTTGCTATAAAATCAACTCACCATACTCAAACCATCTAGTTTATCTATTTCTGTAAATATGACTCTTTAAGTGTTGGTACATCATGAATATGCTGAAGGAATTTTCCTACGCCTTACTTTTGTTGCTTTAAGTACTTAACTAAGTTATTATGATTAAAATCGAGAAAACGTAGAAATAATCTCAATATGATGTACTATATTATGTACTATTTTAATGAAATAAGACTAGCTGTGGTACTTGTACAACTATCTCAGGTAGCAGTTGTTAATTATAATTTCATATTTTTAGCAAGTTTCACAAAATGCACAGTAAAGAGTTGGGTATGGGTATGTTATAGAAAAAAAAAGAGATTGTTGTCATCAGTCACCCAAGGAAATAAGAAGTTTGTTTTGGTGGGTTAGTTAAAGGGTTAAGGACTTTGGGTGAGTTTACAAAGTGCAGAAACTCAATGAGTTCAGAGAACGCCCTGACAGGTGACATGAAGTCAGATCATCTGTCAGAAGAACATGAAGATGGAATGAGACAGAAGACATGCTGATTATTACCTTAAATACCTGCAGAGAAGGTCTCACCATGATGCGTGTGAGTTTGGTTCTAGATGAAAGAGATGGGTGGAGGGATTATAGAGGTACTTAGCCACTCTAGTGTTTGTTCTCCTTCCAATGTTCATGCATCAAAAAAAAAATGATGAAAATATTTGGCAAGCATACATGTTGTTTTCAAAAGACTGTTGGAGATCATCAGGATTTCAGCATCGTTCTGCCAGTTTTACATCTTAAAAAGAGAGCGTGAGAGAATAAATGAGTTCTGTCATTTATTTTTATATTGTGTTTTTGGAATACTGTTTACTGCAAACACTCAGGTATAATTTTAGTGCTCTTTGTTCAATAACCCAAAACCCACCTGTCTGATTTTTTTTTTTTCGGCTGCTCCCTTCTTCAGGGGTCACCACAGCAAACCTCACACGAAGACTTGGCAAATGTTTTTTTACACCAGATGCCCTTCCTGACTCAACCACAGACCACCGAGCTACCACAGCCCTCTGTGTGGAGCAGAGAGCTGCTGTCTAGGGTGCCCAGGAGAGCAGATGGTGGGGGTTAAGGGTCTTGCTCAAGGGCCCAGAGTGTGGCAAATGAGGCATTGTGTGGGTGCTTTACCATTCCCACCCACATTTTTGATGTTATCAGTCTTGGGACTTGAACCAGTGACCTTCTGATCACAGGCTTGCCTTCTCTAACCTCTGCGCCACCACTCCCTTACCCTCAATCTTCTGATTGACCAGTCTGAATGTCATAAAAAAAATTGGTTGAGAGATGGAGCATAGGAAAATAAATGGCCACTTAAGGTTTTAGCTTTGCAATAGTCTGCCATTTTTGAGGCTTTGTGTTATTTGGAATAATTCTCTAAAACTTATATTGTGCTACAAGACCAGTGTGATCCTTGAATGTTTACATTTTCTTCTAATTTCCAAAATACATTTATGTCTCGTGGTTTTTAATCGGACACAAAACCCTTTCTGAAATTAGTCACATTACAATTATTCATCACTGGTCATTCATATTTATTTTCTTGGCATCATTGATGAGGTTGTTAATCTCCCAAAATATGTTTATTTATGCTTTTGGACATTCAAAACATTTCTACTCTTAAAATATAACTTTTACCACTGCTTTGCATTTTCTCACCTAAAGAGTTGGTTCATGTCCCCTTCGTTCTGCCATCATCAGCTTCTTCTTATATCAGTGTCTCTAATATGGTCATTATGTCATGTTCTGCCTCTCCATGTCATGTTCTGCCTTTCTGTCACTCAGCTACGCCCACGCTTCACCCGCAGCTGATCAGCCTTGATTCACTGCACCTGTTCTGACCCAGATTTAAGGACTCCTCTCACCACTCTATTCTGCCAGATTATTTAACCCCTCATAGTAGTAGATGTCCAGCGTTCTGTTCACAACCTTGTTTGATCTTCTCGTCTCGACATCATGCCTGACTTTTGGAAATCCCGATCTGCCTGCTTCCTGCCTGCTCTTGTTTTGCCTTTCTGATCTTGTTACCAACTGCTCCTTCTGACCTAATAACTACGACTCATGGATTGCCCTACAGATTTGTATCTGGATCTCTGACCTCTCGTGTTTGACCTTGACCTCTACTCCTGGACCTTGTTTTTGGATTACCCCTCACCCCCCAACCACGCTCTCTTCAACTCTGCTCTGCAGCTGCACTTCACCCAGTGGTGGTGAAGTTATCTTGCCCAACTCCTACAGGTGGCCCCCACCCACCTCTCCTGTTTGAGAAAGTTAGTGACTGTCTTCTCTCACAGAAATAGTCAGTTCACTAACTGTCATATCTCTGCAGCTTGGTCCCACCACTGGATTCTGACTTCCACTATCATATATATTATTTTTTTATGGATTTAAATAATATAATTACAAAGTATTCAAGAAAATAAGCCTCTGAAAGCAGTGTGTTTTGATCTCTGTGCAACACGGACCAATAATCAGGTAGAAAACCACTGTTATGTAACAAAACTTGACAATGTGGACATGGTTCAGTTGAGAAAAGAGACAAATGTCAATGAATGTCTGATTCAAAACTCTTTAAGCAGTGACTATACAACATTTACTTGTACTCCCATAAAATATTTCTGAGTTTTAAATGTTTAAGATGACATTTTCCCCTTCTTTCATGGCAATGTCCTCCATATTCTCTGTTCCTAGAATCACTCAGACTGCTGTTTTCTACAGTTACAACACTGACTACCCATAATTAATCCATGAAATCATACTTCAAAACAGCAAACTTCTTGTTTTGATTTCCAATCCTCTGGATCTCAGCATATGAGTAGAGGAGGAGATTAATCATTTGTGTAATTAAGAAGGCTTTTCACTAAGCTAAAAGCGTTACATTCTGATCTGCTATAAACTGCAACCTGTCACAGGTATAAAGACCTCAGAATAAATCTTGACAGCTTGTGAGAAATTAAACACATTTCATAAACATCCAGCTTTAATCCAAACCTTAGTTACAACATTGGGCCACAGCTGTTGCCAAATCAAATTTACAGACTCTAATGTGCACTTTCGAAAGAAAGTTACAATACTGGGGGAAAAAATCTCTCTAGTTTAAGAATGTGACATAGATTAAAATACGTTTTAGGATTTGTTAAGGTGGGGGCAGCATGGTGGTGCAGTTGGTAGAGCTGTTGCCACTCAGCAAGAAGGTTGCTGGATCAAATCCCAGCCGGGGGCCTTTCTGGGTGGATGCATGCTCCCTCCGTGCATGCGTGACCCCTGTGACCCAAAAAGGAAGAAGTGGGTAAAGATAATGGATGGATGAATGGATATGGTTGGATGAGAATAGATAGACTGAGTTCAGATGAGATGTCAAGGAAAAAGAAATGAAACAAGTTCCTGACTTTGTCCCTCAGCACTGATACACATTAAGGATTCTATTTCTGAATTTATTGAGGTCTTCACAGTGAGGTCAGACTTGTTATTTGAGAAGGACATTTCTGTGCTTCCTTCTGTTAGGTAAACAAGGACAAAATCACCTTATTGACAGCTTTGAAAGTTGATTCAAGGGGATTTATTGTGCGTATCATTGGTGTGGCCTATACTGCTCTGTTATAATGAGAGCTTTTTAAGTTTGTCAGTAAACCAGCATATTATCTCCTCATTTCACGGGACAAAATAAATTTTACAGTCAGAAAGGTAAATTGAGCTTCAGCTGTTATGGCACTTAGGTGCTCCTCCAAACACAAAATGATCAAGAGCATCAACAGAAGAAAATATCCCCATCATTACTCTAATGCATCTCTTTCTGCCTGTGAGCGTATAAGTAAAATGTTGAGAGTCTGAGGATGGGCTCTTCCAAGAACTTGCTTTCAGGAAGTTTTTTTTGTGTGTGTTGAATTATGCATATTGCAGCAACATGAGGCTGTTTCGAACTTTAAAATGCTTCCCATCCACATAAATCAACGTCACAGCTGTATACAGTCACATCGGAATTCAAATATGGTGAATAACTCATTTATAAAGGAGGCTAAAATTATACCGTGCCAAATTTATAGCTCTCAGAAGGGGGTGCAGATGTTGAATTTTACATTTAAGGGTACTCATTGCAAAGACATATCGACCATAATAATGATAATGATGATGATAATAATAATATAATAATATGGATACTTACAGTATATAAAAAAAAATTGTAAGCTAAACTTGTTATTGTTTGCAAAGTGGATGCCTTTGTTTTTCTACGGAAAGAGATAAAGTGCCTGAGAATAGGTCAAACGTTAGTTACCCTTACCGGTCTGGACGGTTTTGTGAAAGCCACGTGTGTTTAAATGTCAAGCTTTGTCTTTATGCTGCTCCACCGCCTGCTTGATCCGTAACATTTGTTTTTGACAGCCGTTTCATTTTTAATGTATTCAACTTTGTTTGATCAAGGACAGCACAAAAACCAATATTACATGATAAAAAACAAAGCAACCGTTGTTTTCCACAAAGGGTTTTTAGCCACAGGCTAATTTGCAAACCCAGTCCTTGGTTGGACTTAAAAAAAAAAAAACAGCTAAATAGAATTAAGATTAAATTAGAATTAAACAGTCCCCTCACACACACACAAGCCTGCTCCTCCATCCCCATGGGGCTCAGTGTTCACATGTTTGTTGTTGTTTCAGTCGTTGTTTCACCTGGGAATTAAAAACTCTTAAGATCTGATGGTAAACTGTTCCAAATATGAGGGCCTTTAAATGAGAAGGTTCATTGACCAAACAATGTTTTTTATTTCACGGGTGTTCAGTCTCCATCAACTGCACCTCTTGCTGCAACTCCTGTGATGCTGACTTTTAAAATCATTCTGCTCACCAGCTATACACTATAACATTTAGAGCCTATAGGCTAATTTGTGTTGCACCTCTCTAAATGGGTTATTAGCATCATCAACAGTAACACAGTTTAAAAAGAGCAAAACATTACACAATTAAAATAATTCAAACAGTCATTAAAATGCCTTAATGTTATGAGTACAAAACTAGTTCACCTTCAGAAACTACGTCAGACCTGATCTAAAATGATTCCAGACAGAAGTCAATTTCAAATCTGCAGTTATGTAATCCCACATGTTAATCCCTCGTACAGAAACGGCCATTTGACTCTAGAACGTTTCATGAAAATGAACCCTTCAGTTCCCACCGTCTGTTCCATGAGTTGTGGAGCCTGTGGGTTTGCGAGGAACCTGAAGGTCACTGAACACCTGAGGAGCTTGACCATCTATACTTTTAAAACTAAGTGTAAGAATGAGTGTAACATTCATCGTGCTGTGTTTATTGACACTGATGTGATCTGATGGGTTTTTTTTTCCAAACTCTTAACTGCTCGATTATATATCAGCTTGGTGGTTGTAGCTGCTTGAGACCAAGAGGTTACATAATGACCTTAACAAAATAAAAGCAATCACTGAGTGCATGAAACTGCAACATAAAATGAGGAACGGTCTTCAATTAATCTGAATGTATGCATGTTTTTATGCAAGGTGAGACTTTCCTTTTGCATTTAGCACCAGATTTCTTCTTAAATTTCTACTTGAAAGTCTTCTCTGAGACTATATGCTCATCTGATTCCACCATTGACGACAGATAACCCATAGGTCAAACACATGGCTTAAGCTTCCATTTAGATTTTTGTAGGATTCGGCTGAGTGCTTTATTTACAATGAGTGCGTACCCTCATTTCAGAATCGCATTCATCCAGTGGTGTAGTCTATGCGATACGCGGGCATACGGAGTATACCCACTAGAAAAGCCGGAGAATTTCAGTATACCCACTTAAACGAGATGGTGTAGAGGCAGGGCAGCCGGCTTGGGACCCGAAAGTCCCAGGTTTGATCCCCAGTCACTGCACATCACGTGGCGTCTCTGGGCAGCACGTCTCATCCCCAAAATGTCCCCCGGGTGCTTTCAATAGCTGCCCACTGCACCACCTGGTGGTGGATGGGTTAAATGCAGAGACTAATTTCGCCATTGTATGGAAACATACAGTGCTGACATTGTGATGACATTATTATTATTATTATTAAAAGTGCCCAATGATACATGACATATCATTGGGCATGATTGATATGTTAAACTGCAGGTAAACGCTTCTATAACAATCTGCATGCAGCGCTTGGTTATTGCACTCGCTTATCCAGTATAATACTTGTGTTGTTCTTGTCATAGGTTTCAGTTTCAAAGTATCAGAATTATCACTTTAATTGTAATAATGTCAAAAATATTTGAATATCTTTTTCAGAAAGTATTTTAACAAGGCTGTGGCTTCAACTAATAAGAATTTATAAACTCCAAGATTGTGAGGACATCATTTTAAAAAACATCCATCTGATAAAAGCTCTTCTCTTTTGTTGTCAAATGTACGTCATCTCTTGATGATCAGTATAAATGGCCCTCCTGTTCATCGTTTTGAGCCTATAGTAACGACATGGTTAAGAAAGCGAGGAAACAGAAACAAGAAGACTAATGAAACCTAAGGAGTTTGAGAACAATCACATTTGGACCATTTTTTAGACACATTGAGTTGGTTCCACCTGTTTTTTGTATAATTAATACTTATTACTACTTAATACTTGAACATGTTTATCTTTGATACTGTTTTATAAATTCCATAACATGTTTTTAATGCAAAGCCAACTGTTGTACAAAGTGTGTTGTACATTTATTCACATATAAGCATCAGAGAATTTTGGAAATGTTTAATTTGCTTAAAAATCTGAATAAATTGACAAATACATTGTACTATCCTGTGTACTTTGGTTTCTAAGTACAGTATACCCACTACAAAAATGTCGACTACACCACTGCATTCATCATATCTAAAAAGCTACTGGTGTAAAGTCTTAACCAACTGCACCATTCAATAAAGTTCAGGATAATGTTTTTCCCTGTTTGAGTTCATTTTTTTGCTACGAGTACCTTTAAAGCAAATGCATTAAAAATGTATATAATATCCCAGCTCAGCCTTTGGAGAACACATCCTCAGTTTCATCTGTGAGACACTGCAGCACCTCGGACAGCTCAATTCCCAGCAGAAGCAACAAGCAACACAATGTCCTGTTGGCCCAGATTATTACGTACAACATGTTCCGTTATTATCAGGAGGATTGAATTGCTTTGATCTAGGGGCTTGTGGGGTATTTATCACAGGACCGGTGGGATGCTGAGGGGATTATTCCCTTAATAACTCATTAACATTGTGGCATCATTCATTTGCAAACTTGAAACTCTGCAGAGCATCTTTAAATTGCTTTATCTGGGAGAATAAACCTCATTGCAAAGAGTGAAACCATAAGCCGGACAGCCCTGTCTACAATTCCTCATGGTGCAGGATGCATTTAGCTCCCTAACAGATTCTGTAAAACAGGAGCTTTCACAATTCAGATTAGGGAGATCAGCTGTTTCCAACACTTACCTCGCAGCTCTCAGACTCCGCCATTTTTCTCCTGAGGAGCATGCAGCGGGACGAATGTCTAATTCCCATAGGAGCCTGCAGGAATGTGCACTTAATGAAAGTAAAGAAGAGTGCTGCACCTCACGACTTTTACTTCTTTCCTGATCAATTCTTCTCACTCATACTGAACAATGCAGTGTTTGCACAAAACTACTTGAAGTCCCTGGAGCAATGCTGCCACTGTTGCTGCGAGCAGTGATGGATCCCATGGCTGAAAAGTTTGCAGCCCACCGGTTTGTTTTCCTGGAGAGCTTCAGTGGAGCGGGCGTCATGGGATCAGCTGAAAAAAGAGCGTCAGGACTGCATCATCTTGTCCCATGATGGCCAGCCAGGAGCAGACAGGGATCCGAGGAAGAAAAAAAAAAAAGCAGATTGTCGCGAACACAATGTTTCAGCTCGTTTGAATGATTCCTCCACCGCAGCGTTGGTTCTAAAAATAGCAGCCGCTGAAGAGCGAGTGGAGCGACTTTCCTCTGCACACCAATGTGTCGGCGGGCTTCTCAGCAGCTCCTGTCACAGTTAATGTCATCTTTAATGGAGCAGGAGCCTATCTGCATCTCTGCTCCAGCTGATCCGCTCTCCAGCCTGCGCGGGGTGCTGAAAGCCTGGCCAGAGAAAGTTGGAGCCCTCTCAAAAAGAAACGAGATGATGCTCTGAGCAGAACCTCTGTCTCACCTGGTCTCACTGCACCATGATGTCAACTCACAGCACTTTTATGATGATGACTCACTACAGTTGCTAAAAACGTGTGTGTACATATATACATATGTATATATATGTATACATATATATACATATGTATAT